TTTTCCTCCCATCTACTTCACCAGCTTCTAAGTAAGGTCTCACTTCTTCAGTCTCCCTGTTGGGCACGGGGGAGCCTGCAGGTGGCATGACTCATATCTAGTGCTTCTGTTTCCAGGCATCAGAACCCTTACTAAGTCCACAGGGCACAATTTCTCCTTCTAAATGCCCAGAAGGCAAAGAAAGCCTGATGACCTCAGCAGTGACCTGCTGCCCTCCAGCTGTGGCTTCTGGTCTCTGCTAAGCCCCCGCTTACCCACCCCATGGACCCTTATCTGCTGCAAAGGGCAGGCTTTGCCTCCAGAGATAAAACCCTACTGGCCTCGCTAATCTGCCGTGGTCTGCCAAGCTGAGTCAGTGGTGGCCTGACTTGACTCTTCACCTCCTGCCTTTATATCAGGCCAACAGTGTAGGTGTCATCTTGGGGAATGTTAGTGTCCTTCCCTGCGTGGGAACGCTCATTTAGAAGGGTCTGTTTAGGGACCCATTTTATTTTATTTTATTTTTGAGACGAGGTTTCCCTATGTAATCCTGGTTGTCCCGGAATTCCCTATGTAGATCATGCTGACTTCAAACTCATGGAGATTCATTCACCTAACTCTGTCTCCTGAGTGCTGGTATTAAAGTCATGCACAACCAAGCCTGGTCTAGGGACCCTCTTGAGTGGGGACTCCTGGCCTTGCATACAGTCTGCTCTCCACATCACCATGCCCCCAGCTATTACTGTAGATCAAGGTAACAACTACTGAGGGGTTTTGCCAGGATACAAAATCTCCCATTATATCTCAGGCCTATGAGAAACAACGACCTTCAGATCTATCTAACCAAACACGCTTTCTCCTTATGGCAAAACCGACACCGAAGCTGCTCATGTTGTCCATTTCCAGGTTTAGAGGATGCTACCATTCGGATTTAATTTTTTTTCATCTATTACCATCTGATTGTTACATTTCTCTCAATATATAGAACAGTGAGATAAGAAAATAATAAAAGTAAATGTCATGCTTTGTCAACCAACGAAAAGCTTTTAAATCAACATGTTCATTACAAACTCACAGGTCACCACACACAGATGGGTCTCTGAGAAGGATGACTGCCATCTCTGAGAGATGGTTATAGACTGTGTAATTCCACAGAGCAAGCAAGGCTCCTAGGCTATGAGGTTTAATTGTGGAAATGTTTACGCTAAAAAGAGTACATCCTGGAACATACATTTCTAAAGAAAGAAACATTGTAAGGTTTCATTTTTTCCTAATAGTGAATGTTGACAGAATGTACTGGAACTTTTGAATTGGCTTTTCCCATGGTTTCTTTGTCTTTGATTCCCTGAAGACTCTGTCTGTGGGTGCAGACCCTGGTCCCCCTAGCTCTTTCCTGCGGCCTTTCCAGACTTTCTAGCCCATCTCAATCCCTCTATAACTTCCACTGACCCCACCCCCGCAGACCTGGTAGCACTCTCTACAAGGGACTCTGCTGCCACCACACTTACACAGAATCCAAAGTAGGCAACAGAAGCCAAAGAACAGAGCACCCCCCCAACAAAGGCAAAACTAGATATGTACAGCAAGAAACACTTAAAATATTGTAATTCCAGATGCTGAGATGCCAGCATAATAACACAAATGTGAACAGTCAAGACAATATCCCTCTCTAGAAGCCAGCAACCCTATTGCTATAGACCCTAATCACTGCAATTTAGCTAAACCACGAGATAAGGACTTCAAAAAAGCAATTATGAATATGTTCAAGGACCTTAAGGATATGAATAATTCCCTCAGTGGAGACTAAACAAACAGTAGAAATAATGAAAAAATTTAAGACATTAAAGTAGAGATAGAATCACTAAAGAAAACCCAAACTGAAATAAAACTGGAAATAGAAACAACATCAAACAAAACCTCAGAGGTAAGTTTCACTAACAGAGTACAAGACAAGGAAAAGAGAATCTCAGGCATGGATAGCACTGTCAAAGAAAATGGTAAATCTAAAAAGAAAAAAATCCAGGCAAAAACATCCAGAAAATCTAGGACACTATGAAAATACCAAATCTATGAATAATAGGGATAGGAGAAGGAGAAGAAACCCAGGTCAAAAGAATGGGGAATATTTTCACCAAAATAATAGAAGAAAAAATTTTCCACTCTAAAGAAGAAGGTGTCCATCAAGATACAGAAAGCATACAGATCACCAAGTAGTCAGGACCAGAAAAGAACCTGCTCATAACACTTAACAATCGAAACACTAAATCATGGAACAAAGAAAGAATATTAAAAGCTACAAGGGATAAAGACCAAGTAACATATAAAATAAAACCATCACAGGCTATCGCCAAGGCTATTAGTTGTTCTCTACAACCTGATGGTAAGGCGCTATTGGTGAAGACAACACTTAACATGTGTCATTAAACACAGAGAAGTTGAGCTTTGCCTAACTATAAGTTAGCATGAAGGCTACTGACTAGCCTTCATGGTATTGGAAGATACTCTGCAGGCTACTGGAGAAGAAAGCCAGTCATCATCAGTGTTGCCCAGCTACTAGCCCTGTGACCTGTAACAGTGACCCGCCTGCAAGATACACTGGTACAGGTGGCACAAATTTTATGGGAGCAACCAACGACTGCTAAACCAGCACTGAGACTCACAACTGGACAGTGTGCCAGAGTGAAAGGCTTTGGAATGCTTTGTCCTGAATGTGATATTTTCCTCAAATTCCTCCCTTCTGGGCTCAAGGAACTATGTGGAAGAAGATGTAGATTGTGAAAACCAACGTTGATGCATGACTCCAAGGCAACATTGTCTTCCAGACACAACAGGACTGAACATGTATGAAGTCACAGCAACTGTGGAAGCATGTACAGGACCTGCATGGGTTGAAGCTGCACAGGGGTCCCAGCAATGAGAGGGGAAAATGGAAAGGCGGGTACCACCCATAACAGGAAACTGTTTGAAACTGATACCCACTGGCAAAGGGAAAACCGGTTTTCTCCAATGGAGTCTCACTGGGTATTGAGAGATCAAAAATTAAAATGAATAAAAGTTTAAAGACCTTTGCAGAGAGAAAAGAAACTTCTAATAATAATAAAAACAATTTGGCCCTCTAACCGGGAGTATGTGACAAGGAGCCCAAGCCCAGATCTCAGAGAAAGGGAGTTAGCTTGCATTCCTTGTCCTAGAGAAAACCAGATAACCACTAACTGTTGGTTGTAAAAATCCCCTGGCCCAGGAGATAATTGGAAAGCTGGTGACCCCATGCCCCTGCCCTATCTTGCTCAAATGAATCTTGCTAAAATACATAGATTTTGCTTTACTTTGTACTTTGTCATGACCGTGAGTAACCATGGAAACTTTGTAATTTGTGGCCATCAGCCTTATGGTCTTTCCCTTTAAAAGCTTCTCTTAATTGCTGGTTAGGATCTCACTTCCTCCTGATGGACTGAGATCCTGGCTGGCCAGCTTGAAAATAAAGAAATTTTGCTTCTGCGTTGGTGAGTCTGCTCCTTGTGGAGGTCTGTTTGGGGTTTTATGAACCGGGCATAAAAGGTACATCAACCACACTCCAGGACAGGCCCATGCCCAGGAGCAATTGCCCCCCACCCAAATACACAAACACAAAACCAAAGACAAACTCAGTGGTATTTTTGTGAGCTTTTTGTCTCATTTTGCTTTGTTTGAACTTTTTTTTGTCTTATTGGCCTTTGCTTATTTTGAATTTTAATTTTTTAAAAATCCTATTTATTTTTATTTTATGTGCATTGATGTTTTGGCATGGGTGTTGGGTCTCCTAGAAATGGAGTTACAAGCGGTGGGTGCTGGGAATTGGATCCATGTATATCTGAAAGAGCATTGTTTCTTGATTGCTAAGCTATCACTCTAGCCCCAAAGGAATATTTTGGTCCAGAAAGGAATTTTTTTATTCTTTTTTAAAGATGTATTTGTTTATGTATATGAGTGTTCATTCTATCTGCATGTATGCATGTTAGAAGAGGGCATCAGATTCCACTATAGATGTTGTGAGCCACCATGTGGTGGCTCGGAATTGAGCACAAGACCTCTGGTAGAGCAGCCAATACTTTCAAGCACTGAGCCTTCTCTCTAACCTCTTGTTTGACTTTTTTTGGAGAACATAAATTTGGTTTGGTAGGATTTGAGGAGAACTGGTGGAGAAAAAAGAATGATTGAATTTTTTCAATTAAAAAAATAGACAAGTTTTATAAACCTGTGTGCTTTTGTATTCAGTGAAAAAGAGGACTTTGAAAGGTCACCAAGAAGGGCTGGACAGATAGCTGGGATGGCATGATGCATGAATACACACAAAGTCAGCAGGAAAACAAGTTAGCACAGCTTAAAGATCTGAACATGCTTTAACCGGTTTAGGGATAAAGATGGCCAGGCAAGCACATGAAAACACACTAAGTCCCAGCCTCCAAGTTAGAGCATGCTCAGACACTATGTGTTGATTAGAGTGGCTAATATAAAGCAAACACCCAAAGGGATGACAATGTAAGTCTAAGGAGAATGTGTAGCGACCCAGCCTCCCATCATTGCTGATGAGAATACCAAGTTCTACAGACTCTTTGAGGTCTCTTATAGAAAGTAGAAAATAATTTGCCATGTGATCTTACCATCTCACTCCTGGTGCTTACCTAAGAGTAATGGAATCCCATCCCATGTCCACAACAGCTTTTAGAGATAGACAATTATTGGTAATTGTCTCCATCAGAAAAGAACTTTAAATGCCAGTGAGTAAAATGTCTAGCCATACAAAAGCTTTTTGTCATCAGTGAAGAGGAATGGACTACAGCAAAAGTGCAGGAGCAGAGAGCAGAGGGTTGTCAGTGGCCTGGGGCAGGTGTGGGGTCTCTCTCACGGGAAATGGGGTGCATGGGCACTGAAAACATCCTGGGTCTTGTTTGTGATGCTGCCAGTCACACAATACATTTTGTCAGAGCTCACAAAACTCTATAAAGGGTGAGCTTCATTTCCATATAACAGACTCTATGGAGTTGATGGTAAAAATGTTTATTTTCCACAGATGTAGTAAAGAAAAGCCTTAAATATATTTTTTCACAACTCTTCAGTCATTGAAATAGACCCCAAAAAAACAGTAAAAATGAATCCGTGTCACTCCTCTGCCCATGAGGGTGGCCTTCAAGAACCTTTTTGATATCTCTGGGTAGGAAAAATGATGTTAGGTTATCATTATTGGATTTGTAAGAGGAACAATGGAAGTACAGAGGTGAAGTGGGTGCAGAGAAATGATGACGGTCATGGTGGATGTGGGTTTTTAGCTCTACATCCTGCTTTGTGGAGTTTAGTTAATACATTCCATGCCGAAAGGTTGAATGGTTTTGCTGGATTTGGTACCATCTCTCTTTGTGGTTATTTCCTGCAGCTCTTTATGTTAGTGCAAGAGCCCCATCCATTACAGAGCCATTCTCTACATTAAAAGTCACAGTCATCTGCTATGACCCCAGAGGAACTGCAATCAGAAGGAAGAAACCAGTGACAGACAGGCCTTCTTTCCAGCTGGATACTCATGGCAGTGCAGTGACCACTGCTAACACGCGTATAACCTACCAGATTACAAAACTACTTGCCATTTGCTTGCATGCTTTAGCTTTTCTCCAGTATCTGAGAACCAGTGCCCATGATAAACCCACCCCAGTGGCCACTTTCAGTCTTTAACTGCCCCAAAAAAGAAAAAAAATCTGTAATTAATTTTCTGCATCCATGTCATAGAAAATTTAATTTGTAATTTATTTTTTGTGCATATACAAAATGGGTGCAGTTGCCTGTGGAGGCCAGAGGGGGGCATGGAACTGGAGTTACAAGCTGTTGTGAGCTACCAGAAGGGTGCTGGGTATTGAACTCAAACTCTTAGTCTTATCAACTGAAAATCACCTCTCTCGATCTCCTGATTTGTAATGTAAATGCATCACACACACACACACACACACTGTTTTTACTTCCTTAAGGCTGAATTACTCATGCACAAATGCTTTGGAAGGAAAGAGGGCATACTGCCTAAGCACATTTCCGACACTGTTATGTGGAAAGAGAATCCGCAAGGTGGCATGTCAACTTTACTCATCCTTTTTTAAATTTCCCTGGCACATTCTTTTTTTCTTTGGCCCCATGTCCTATTCACTTTCTCCATCTTTTCTAGACAGCTAATCGTTTAAAAATAAGAATGCCACACCACAAAAGCTAGGATTTTTTTTAGATTAGTGGCCAAGTACCTGTCATTCTGGCAAAACAAAAGCAAAAACAAAACAAGAACAAACAAAACAAAACAGGTAGGAGACAGGCCACACCCTGAACTTAGTTCTCAAGGATCTACGCAACCTGACAACCTTGGTTGGGGAGCAGGGTCTCCCTTCTTTAGACAAAAATGAGGCACAGGATATTTCCACAAAATAAAAAACCCTCTACTCGGTTCACGCACTTTGCTGCCCAGCCCTGCACATCTGGCCTTTTCCTGAAAGTGCTTGGAGGACACTAGCAAAAGCCATCACCAGACCACTGTAGGACGGAGTGCAAAATAGTGTAAAGGAGATAGCACCTTCAGAATTGTCATGAAAACCCTTAGTCAAGACAGAAAGAAAGAGACAGTATCAAGAAGCACAGGAAAAAAGCAAGTGAAATATAAATATGGGGAGTGGGGTTTGGGGTACAGACCTCAAAAAGGCAGGACACCAACGTTGCAAAAAGGCCAAACCTTAATGACACCTGGTGGTGGTAGGCAGAGGAGACAGCACAGGAGGAAGTGACAGGGTGGGTTCCACCACCATGCCCCCCCCAGCCTACCCCTGGGGGAGTTGCTTAGTGGCTAGCCACAAGTCTGTTTAGGGAAAGTCAGTGGTGCCCTGCGCTCAGGGCAAGCAGAGAATGCAGGATCATTTTACACATTGTCCGGACCCCTGGGTACAGGGGGAATCCTGCGCCGCGCCCTGCTCCTGCACAGGCCGAGTTGTTCCATCCTCTGTCCGGGATGCGCCCTTCTCCTGCTTGCCCGCCCCGGTGGTGTGCGTGTTGGGGAAGCACGGAGCCGTGCCTGCGAAGGAGTCTCTGCGTGCCAGCGTCTCCTCCTGCACCGGGCGGCCCACCGGCTCCTGCTCTGGCTCTGCAGGGCCCGGGCCCTCCTGCGAGGTCTGGCTGACGTACACTACGATGATGTCGCCCTTGAAGTTCATCACCTGCCCGCTGGAGATAAACGTGGAATTGCTGTTTCCCGTCACGTTTCCTGCAAGGAACAGAGAGAGCATAGAGAAACTGTATCAGGGGCTACATTCAAGCCTCTCTTCTATCGTGACTCAGCTCAACGTTAATTTATGCAAGCACGATGAAGTTTGCATTACCCTCTCTGAATGAAGTTGCCTCAAATTTGGAAGGGCATTTTTAGACAGCGACTAATGTGTTATGGGCATTCAGGAAATTCCTTTGGTGTAGCCTTCCTCCTGCTGGTGGGGTAACTCCTGAGAACCCCGAACGGAGGTACAGTGAAAACCCCATGGGAGGACAAGATTTTAAATGTGAGCAATAAATCCAGACACAGAAGCCTGTGATTCCTGCTGTCCCCTCCCCCACAGGGTGCTTAGCATCAGAAACTTACCCCTACCCCGCCCCCAACACACATCAGGGAGCCTGCTAGTGTTCCTGCCTCCTTGCTCACTCCGAAGTGTGCCCACAAGAGCTTGTAACCTACGTTGTGCACTAAACAGACAGACGTCATCTATGACTTTCTCTTCCACTTTACCAGATAAAGTCATTAGAGGAAAGTCAAAACAAGAAACCAAGGTAACACATACATGCCATAAATGTTACATTCTAACTAAAGATATGCCATATGTATTTAATGAAATCGGTAATTGTGAGTTGCTTAGAAGTAGTACGATTTTCCTCCATACAGTCATTCTACAGTTTTATTATGACATCATTTACTGCTTTTGTTCTTCAATATATTAAACCATAGAGGGCCTCTCTAGCTAGTGCAGGATTGATTTACAAGTCTGGATTTAATCTCATCTCCTCTTTCTCCTCCTCATACTTAGATTTATCTGGTAGTGTCATGGTACATGGGATTTATTTACCATTTATACTTTTATCTGCCAACAAATCATTACAATGAGCCCACTGTTGTTTAATTCTCCTTTTTTAGGATCTCAGTTAATCTGAGCCCAGTAAAAACTCTGAGCTTTTTTTGTGTCATTCTACACACACACACACACACACACAGAGAGAGAGAGAGAGAGAGAGAGAGAGAGAGAGAGAGAGAGAGAGAGAGAGAGAGAGAGAGAATCTTGCATCTTGAGCATTTAACTCCAAGCCATTTCCCCTTAACAAATTTATCCTGGTAGTAGTATACTAAAAATCCTAAGATATATTTTTGTGATGTGGGATGTCTTTCTGCATGTTGTGAATATGTGTTGCTTTTATTGGTTGATGAATAAAGCTGTTTTGACCAATGGTCAGGCAGAATATAGCTAGGTGGGAAATCCAAACAGACTTGAAGGCAGAGTAGGGGGGGGACAGAAGGTAGCCACTGGGGAAACAAGATGTTAGGTAACAAGCCACGAGCTTTGTGGTAAAATATAAAATAACAGAAATGGGTTAATTTAATTGTGAGAGCTAGTCAGTAATGCCTGATCCATTGGTCAACAAGCTATGAACTATTGGTCAAATAATTGTAATTAAGATTACGCCTTAGAGTAGTCATTTGGAAACTGGCAGGAGGGATGAGAAACCTCCAACTACATTCTTCTTTTCCATTTTTATTTTCAGTGTGGAATTCAACTCCTTTATCTTACAGGACATAATTAAACAATCCATAATCCTTTGAATCATAGAATAATAAATGTCATTTTGGGGAGGCATGGGTCAGGTAGAAGTACCAAGCAAAGATCTTTTTAAATTGCTGGCAGCAAGTTTAAAAAAAAAAAGAGTTACCTAGAAAGAGATTATCAATGTTATTTGTCAGGGTTTTGGGGGGGGTGTTTTAATCAAAGGTTTGAGCTATGGGCCAGCACGATGACTCAGGGTAAAAGCACTCTTCCAATAAGCCTGACGATCTGAGCCCAACCCTCCAATCCCACGATGCAAGGAGAGATCCACGCTGCCCTGAAAATTGTCCTCTGACTACCACATGTGCACTGTGACATGTGTGCTCCCACCAATCATAACACACACACAGACACAATACATAAAATAAAAATGTAAAGGGATGACTTATGACAAAAAAAATCTTTGATCAAGTTCACCAGGCTAACATTCATGGAAAAAGTCAATTAGTGCAGATTAAACTTTAAAAAAAAAACATCTGAGGGCTGGAGACATGGCTCAGCAGTTAAGAGCACTGGCTGCTCTTCCAGAGGATCCAGGTTTGGTTCCCAGCACCCACACGGCGGTTCATACCTGTCTGTAACTCTAGTTCCAAGGCCTCTAACACACTCTTGCACAGACACACACACACACATGTAAAAAACATCGGGGAACATAAAATAAAAATAGAAGAGGAAGGAACCTGAAACACATCCTACTGATTTGCCAGTACGTAAAAGGTAGAAGAACGGTCATCACTGACGTGCCACCCACATGCCTGCCCGGGACCACGTGCACAGAGGCTTTGCTATCATCTTCACCCTATTAATTTTTACATAAGGTGCATTGCATTTTCCTTCCTCGATAGGCTCAGCAAATTGCGTCAGTGGCCCCGAGGAGCTGTGTGGTAAGACCACAGACCTCCGATTTAGTGTCACTGCTTTAGGAGTCATCTGATAAGATGGCTGTATTTCAGTAGTGCTTGCCACTCTAATTTCTTTATCAATGAATGAGATACTCAATAAGAGAGTGAATTGTAGATATCTGCTGGTAACCCCTCTCTCTTATTCTCTCTCTGTGTCTTTCCCTAGGCTAGTCCCTTTGCACAGCTGAAGATGTCCTTGAACTTCCGATCTCCTTGCCTCTATCTCCTGTGTGCTGAGGTTACAGGCTGCTGTGGCCACAGGCATGCACCACTATGCCTGATTTTTACAGGGCTACGCATTCATGCTGGGGCTTTGCACAATGCCAGGCAAGCACTCTGCCATCTGATTGCCCTTAAATATCTTTTCCTGGTGTTTAAACCTCTTGCCACTTGCTGGAAAACTCTCAATAACTTGCCAATGATGGAGAACAGAGTCTGCACCTCTGAGAATGGGTCTACGCAATGCGTCAATCAGACCTTCAATGTTTTGACATAATGCTTGGTTCAGTTTCTCTAAAGCACTGTGAGAATGAAAGATTACTTCCGAAGACCTGAGTGCAGACACCTAGCATTTGCTCCCCCGTTCTTGCACAGCCCTCTCATCTACTCAAATCCAATGGCAAGATATTTTTAGCAACTCATTCTTTGAATAGTTCCAAAGCTTTCAATAGTTTTTTAAAGAAAGAATCTTCTTGCCTATCAAACTTACTATTTTTTAAAGCAAATATAACAGTTAGGTCCTAAAGTACAATGAGATCAGCTCACACTCACAGCCCTGGGAACATGCATGGGAGCAGGTGTGGTGTGGGTTTACACTGTGACTGTGCACAGTGTGTACACATGACTGTGTGTGTGTGTGTGTGTGTGTGTGTGTGTGTGTACATACACAGCAGAGGCTGATGCTGGGTGTCTGACTGTCTTACTTTCCACATTGTTTTTGAAGTGAGTTATCTCACTGAATGTGGATCTCGTCAGTTTGGCTAGGCTGGCTTACAGAGGAGCTCCGGGCATCCTCTTGTCTCTCTCCTCTTCTGACCATTGCTAGGGTTACAGACGTGAGCTGCTGCACTCTGCTTTTACACACGTGTGCTGGGTTTCCGGGCTCAGGTCCTCCTGCCTGAGCAACAAGTGCTTTACCAACTGAGCTACCTCCCCGGCCTCTAAAGCCTGTCATGGAAGAATCATGAAACCCCCAGGGATATGAACCAAGTGAGGCCTGTCCCTCGCCAGGCTTGCTTTTCTCCTCCAGGGTTTCCTACTCATCTGTAAGCTGATTGTACTTATAATGAAAGATGGTTGGGAGCATGTAGGAGAAAGAGTCAACATCAGGGAAAACAGAAACTTGAGAGACAACCGGCAGGAGAAAAATGTTACAAGTCAGGTACCCATCACTTACTGCACATCCTATTCCTCCTGTGGAAACTTCTGGACCTGGCTCTGCCTGGACACTCAGTACCCATCACTGAGTCAGAGTAGCCATTCACCCTAGGCTTGTGTTTCCTCTTATTCTCTGGAGCAACAAGCCCTTTCCAAGACTGAGTAACCAAGTAAAATCCATGCCACTGGTACCAATTTCAGAGGCAATGGCATGGTGCTTCAAAGCATGAGCTTTCACCATTGAATTATGTTGCATTGATAACTAGCTTTGTTATCCTGGATGAGGAACTTACTCCCCCAAGGTTTCTGTAAGTAATTAAGATAATTCATGCAAAGTTCTTAATGCATGGCAATGAATATCTCCCCATGTGTGCACTGTATATATGCACAGGTAAAAAAATGGTGTATATACAGAGACCAAAGTCAAGCTTCTTCGCATGCCACTTGATTTTATGAGACGGTATCTATCACTGAACCTGGAGTTCACTAACTGGACTGGCTGGACGGGGGAACCTAGAGTCCACCTGTCCTCAGTTCCCAGCATGAGGACTACAGGCATGCACCACCATACATGACTTTTAAAATGGGTCCTGGGATTCAAACTCAGATCCTTGGGTTTGCTCAGTCAGCACGTCACTCTGAGCCATCTCTTCAGTCCCTGTATGCCACTGACAGGACTGTAAGTTCTCACTGCTCTCTGAATGTGGTGGAGCTGGTAGAACGGTGTTTGAAAGCTACTCAAAAATAGGACTTCAAAGCCAGAATGGTGTGGGGAGTTTTTTTTTTATCACATTTAAGATAGTTACTTTACTTAACACTAATATTTAATGTGACTTAGCTAGATAAATGTTCAGATAACATGACAGTGTTAAAAATAGCACCTAAGATAATGGGGATAATGAAAAAAAATGATCTGCTTCAGTATCATCAGAAAGATGTTTACACTGTACTAAATCCATGATTTATACAGAAGGCTCTTTCTATATTTCCTTATAGAAAATGCTTTTCTCAGGCAGAGAGAACGGGTTTGGTTTTGAGAAAACACTTCCTGACAGAATTTGCATTCTTAAGCAAGGGAATGCACTCTTTTCTTCTCAAAAGCATATTATGCAGTTTAAGATGCA